AGCAGCGGCCCCCTGCGGTCAGCCGGCGGCTAGGCACCGGCAGCCCGGCCTGGCGGGGATCCTGCAAGCCCGCGGGGCGTTCCGGGCGGCCCCACCGGTGCCGCCGCCGCCTTGCTGTAGAGCAACAGGCACCGGCCCCGGGAGCGTAAGGAGCGGGTAGGGGATGTGCCAGTGGCTGCGGGGGCTGCCCCGGGCCGCGAGTGGGGAATTCCGGGAGGATTTTCAGGCACGTGGCGTTCAAAGTCTGTGCAAGCTTCAGATTTTAGTCTATTACTGTTTGAGGGCCGGGCTTCCCCCCCCCCAGCCTAATGTAGTCGTTCAGGTATTTATACTGCGGTCGCTAGAACGGCGTCTGAAAATGTGGATTTCTAGCCTTTGAACATCCTCTGAACCCGAGACCCGGTCTAGTCCTGCAGCCCGTGGGCACAGGCTGCCGCAGGCCGGGAGCCCGCAGGTCCGCGCGGGCACGAAGCTCCCGCGGCCGCGGGGAGCCTCGGCTCGTCTGTGCGAGCGTGTGGCTGATCTGCGAAAGGTTTGGTGGTGGCGAGGAATGGTTTGGCAACACCGTGACACACACTGATCTGGCTTTAGCTGATAAGGCCACGAAACAGGTTACGTGTTCAGTTTGTAAATCTTCAAGTAACCACTGCGCCTTGTTTACCAAATCCCTTGGAAATCGGGCTACTTGAAACTAAAAAGGCTTTAGTTCTATCTGATCCAGCAGTACTTCATTTATTTTATGCTGGTTTGCTGCGTTTTTAAGCACTAGATCTCACTGTTCTAAAGCCGGAGCACATTCCTTGGCACTAGGTGCGGGCCGTTTATGCCGAAGCTAACTAGTAGCGTTACATTAACATCCTACTTTTGCCTCGCTGTCTTACCATCACGGTGAATTTTACCGACTAGTTGTAGGTTGCAAAATAAGTAACTCACACTTCTTGCATTAATAGCTACGTTTTGAGACAAATACCAAGAGCACAGAGAAGCCATGAAGCTGTAAAAACAGTGAGGTTTTTTTTCCCCATTCTGCTTTGTTCACTGCAGTTTGTATGCTATAGACTGCTGCCTTGTAAGAGCGTTAGCAACCATCACTGCTGATGCCATGAAAAGCTGAAATCAGGACTCAATAGTCAGAAGACCATTAAGCAGGTATCCTTTATTGCAGCGCTGGGAACACAAGGGATTTCTCCTCCTATTGTGTGCACCTGGTCAGGCTAATGGCATAGTTTATATGCAGGGTCTGGATACATATTCATCAGATTTCCGAGAAAAGTTTTACATATTCGTTAGTTTTCCAGGAACTTGTTACCATATCTAAATGTCCTTCGTGCAGGTGTACCGAGGTCTCTGGTGTCTTCAGGAGTCCTCTGGCGGTCTTCAGGAGTCTTCCTCACTTGTCCGCTGCTTGACCCTTCTTGGATGATTCTGCGCAGCGCAATCTTTTGCATGTTTGATACACCTTATCCTAAAGAGTGCTCGTTAGTGCTTCTGTTATCTAGGCTTATAGTTTGACGTAATCCACATGGATACTTCTAAGCTAAGTTATCGGAGAGGGCTAAAGTCCTAATCTTCTTCAGAAACTGCAGGGCCATCCAAAAGCAATTTCTCCTACCTTTTGCAACATACAGAACTTTTATCTACCACCTGTTAGCAAATAATTGGGTAAAGAAATAGCAAGGCCGTTGTATTCAGAAAAACATCTTTGCATCAATCCCTCCTTTTCTTTTGAGGACTTGTAGTTTATCTGCTACAGTCCTCAATACATATAAATTCACTAGAATTCATTTTTATGTAATTTATAGTCTATTCCTTTCAAGGGTTCAAGTAAAATATTTTCTTGTTTCTACCTGATGTCTAATCTCATTTCTTTTTCAGTCACTATACATTTCAGCTGAACTCTGGTAACACCAAAGAAAACATTTGAGAAATATACTGACAAATATCTCTAGAATTGTTAAAGTAATTAACCTGACTAATAATTGTTTTAACTGTCCTAAATTGGGAAGTCAAGAAGTTAATTTATTCCAAATTTCCCTAAATCTCCAAGATGTATCATCCATAGTTACTTTATGTATCTGTTGGGTTTGTTTCTAAATGTCATTCAGATCTGTGGCAATTTTCCTCTCCTGATTTATATATACACAACAACTAACATTTATGACCGTACAAACCTCTCCTTGTGCTGCTAGACGTATATCCAATGCCATCCTATTTTGGAGAACCTTTTTAGATAAACTAGTAATCTCAAGTTGTAAGGCCTGAATGGCACCCACAGTGTAGTTCTCTATTATTTGTTCTATGACTGCTGAAATGTTCGCTAGTGTTTTTTCTAATTTACTTACCCCTAACCACGGTAAGAACCGCCGAACAAAACTGTGAAATCCTGTAGGATGGTCAGCAATAGTATTCCGTGTTCTCTTAAATCGTTTCAAAAAGGTTCTCGCCCACTCATTCTGATTTCTTAAGCTCCTGGTTACAGTGATATTAGGAACTATCACCCCCAAGGTACGTGTTTCTGACTAATTAGGAGGTCAGGCCTTCCGGGCCTTCTTTTCACATAGCCAATACCAAACACTCCCTTTTGGAACATTCTAATATCTACTGAATTGACTAATCCTTTGTATCTGTGTATTCCAATTACAACAAGGGTAGTGTCCCACTGTAACGTTGCCGATTCTATTGGTCTTATCTGTAGTTACACATTTGACTTAGGAGGTGTTAGGGTCTGACACATCTCAAATCTGGAGATTTGTCTCATTTTCCTTGGTAAACTTTGGCTTCACCCATAAGTTATTCTAAGAAGTATTGAAACGGGTGGGTATTCCTACTAAAGGTAAACCTTTATCAGTGTGTTCAGGGAACTGAATACATACCCAACAATCTGATTGATTAGTTGTTCTTATAATTCCTCCAATCAATCTTAAATGTAAATTTACATCCCGGGAACCTAGACTTCTCTTTGTCACCTGACTTAGATACACAAGTAGGTAGAATTCCTACATTTCTCTTTACACAACAAATACTAACCATGGATCAAACCCCTTTAGTTAACTTCAATTTTAGTGGGGCTTTTTGTTCTACTTTCTATTCAGGAATTGCTTTCTTAATTCTTGAATAGTGGATCCAAGTCAGTTATTCTCAAAGCTTGATTGTAGTAAAAATGGTCAGCAACACCTGGTAGGGTCCATTCCACTTCTTTCCTAATGGATCACCTGAAAAATTCTCAACATAAATCCAGTCTCCAGGGCTAAATGGGTGAATCGGATGATCCAACCCCTTAGCTCTGGTTCCCAAAACATTCCTATTAATTTTCTTTAATTGCTTTCTCAAAGAGATAACATAATTCTGTAAATAAGAATTTCCCAATGGACTTAAATCGTTCCCTTGATATTTAGCCTGGTATGGTCTCCCATATAATATTTCAAAAGGGCTCAGATTTTCTCTGGTTCTAGGTTTCACACGTATCCTAAGCAGTGTAATAGGTAGTGTCTGATACCACTATAGGTTTGTTTCTTGACATATTTTGGCTATCTGTTTTATCATATAATTAATTTTTTCCACCTGCCCACTGGCTTGTGGCCTGTAGGGTGTATGTAACTGCCAATCGATTCCCAATAGTTTGCTGACATGTTGCACTACTTGCGTACAAAAATGAGTACCCTTATTTGACGAGATGACTATAGGTACTCCAAATCGGGGTATTATCTCGTTTAATAATACCTTAGTTACTTCTCTTGCTTTGTTTGTTCTGCAAGGAAATGCTTCTGGCTATCTAGAATAGGTGTCTGTAAGTATCAATAAGTATCTGTATCCCCCTTTTCTTGGAAGTTCAGAAAAATCAATTTGCCAGTGGTTTCCTGGTATGTTTCCTTTCTCAATGTTCCCTAATTGCACCCTGTTACTTGTGTTGGGGTTATGTCTCAAACATACCTCACACTGCTGAGTCACCTGTTGGATTGTAGTATACAAATTTTTCCATATTAACTTCTAACTTTAAAATTTATACAGGGAGTCTGATCCTTAGTGTGTCTTACTGTGTTCTTCTTTAACTACTCCCCATATCTGTTTAGCAGGAATTATAATTCTACTATCTTTTGAGTGGGCCCATCCTCTGGAGGGAATCTGTCTTCCTGTTTCTTCTATCAGTTCTTTATCAGCCTTAGAATATTCAATATGTTCTTGATCATCTAGGCTCTTACTTCTATTGTCTGGAATTAAGGCTAAAACTTTTTGCATTCTCTCCACTGCCTGTTTAGCTTTATAGTCAGCCAATCTATTACCTTTTTCCTGGTCAGTGTTACCTTTCAGGTGTCCTCGACAGTGCACGATGGCAACTTTGGTTGGCAGCTGGACTGCTTCTAATAGGCGAAGAATTTCTTCGGTATACTTAATCTGCTTCCCTTGTGCAGTTAGTAGTCCTCATTCCTTCTGAATTGCTCCGAGAGTGTGGACAACTCCATAGGCATATTTGGAATCTGTCCATATATTTATCCCTTTTCCTTTTGCCAATTCCAGGCCTCTAGTCAGGGTAATGATTTCAGTTTTTTGAGCTGATGTTCCAGCAGGTAGTGATTGAGATTCAATTACCTCGTTTATCATTGTCACCACGTATCCAGCTCTTTGAATACCTTGTCAGATGAAGCTGCTTCCATCCGTGAACGAGGAATCCTGTGCATCCCCCAGAGGTTCTTTTTTCAGATCCAGTTTGCTGGAATACACAGTCTCTGTGGTTTCTAAGCAATCATGTGTCAACGGTTCAGAAGTCATCTCACTAAGGAAAGAAGCTGGGTTCATAACAATAGTTACTTCAATACTAACATCATCTGATTCAATAAGAATGGCCTGGTATTATAGAAATTGGGATAGGGAAAGCCAGTGATTCCCTTTTTGTTCCAGTACAGCTGATACTGTATGTGAAACCAGCACCGTGATCTTTTGGCCCAAGGTAAACTTCCGGGCTTCTTGAATATTCAAGACTAGAGTCACTACAGCTCATAGACATCCTGGCCATCCTTTGCTTACTTTGTCAAGCTGTTTGGAAAAATAGGCCACTGCTCTTTTATATAAGGTCCTAGCCATTGAGCTAGGACTCCCAGAGCTATACCTTGCCTCTCATGAGAAAATAGCCAGAAAGGTTTAGTCACATGAGGTAGACCCAAGGCCGGGGCCTTCATTAGTTCTTTCTTAAGTGTCTTAAATGCATTTTGAGCTTCTTTAGACCAAATCAATCGAGTAGAATTGTTTTTCAAAAGTTCATACAAAAGTTTAACTATTATTCCATAATTATAAATCCATAACCGGCACCAACCTGTCATTCCCCAAAAGGTCCTGAGTTCTTTTACCATCCAAGGGAGGGGAATCCTGCAGATGGCTTCTTTTCATTCTGTTCCTAATTCTCTTTGTCTTCCAGAAAGTTTGTATCGAAGGTAGGTTATCTGTTGTCGTATCATCTGAGCTTTCTGTTGAGAGACTTGATACCCATTTAGTCCCCCCAAAATTAACAAGCTGATAGTCTATCATATGCAGTCAGGTTTTGTTTTAGTTGCTATTAATAAGTCGTCTACATACTGTAAAAGGATTCCATCTCTGGAAGGAAGATCCCATGTTTCAAGTTCTCGTGTTAGTTGATTTCCAAAGATTGTTGGACTATTCTTAAAACCTTGGGGTAACACTGTCCAAGTAAGCTGCGTTTTCCTACTAGACATAGGGCTTTCCCATTCAAATGCAAATAAACTTTGACTTTCTTTTGCTAAAGGCAAACGGAAGAATGCATCTTTCAAATCTAATACTGTAAACCATACCTGATTATCTCATAGCTTAGCAAGTAAAGTATAAGGATTAGCCACCACAGGTTGTAGGTCCTTAACAATTTTATTTACCTCTCTTAAATCTTGTACTACCTGATAAGTTCCATCCAGCTTTTTCACCGGTAATATGGGGGTATTATACTCTGATTCACATTCTACTAATAGTTCATACTGTAAAAAAATATTAATTGATCCTTCTATCCCTTTTCAATCCTCTAACTTCAAGGGATATTGCTTTTGTCATACCCGACTGGTTCCTTTCCTGAGCTTTATGACTATAGGAATGGCATTTTTCGCCCTTCGGGAATCCCTGCAGCCCATACTCCTGGATATACCTGATTAATAATTTCTTCAGTTTGGGGAGTTGTTGCAGCAGACTTTCCAGGGTACATTAGGGCTAGACTTAAAATCTCAGTTAATTGATTTTCCTTTACCTTTAATTCCACAGTCTCATATTTAAAAGTTATCACCGCTCCTAACTGTTCTAATAAGTCCCGACCTAATAGTGGTTTGGGAGAATTTGGCAAATACAAAAGCTGATGTATCCCAATTTGCTTCTCTATCTTGAATTTGAGAGGTTTTAAAAAGAATGCTTTTTCCTGTTGGCCAGTAGCTCCTTTTACATTTACAAAGTCTTTACT